GATGGAATCCAGTGTCAGAAATATGATCTTACCCTGTGGCACTGTCTTTCTGATCCCTGGAACAGCAGATCATGTTCTCTGGAAGAAGCAGCTTACATCGATTGTGAAGGTGACTTATTTATCTGAATTTGAGTAGACTATACCATCTTTCTGTGTGTTTGTTTATGCAAATTTATATTTTAATTATATGGTTTTAATTTCAGACAGAGCCAACAAAACGTATCTCTCCACAGAGAAGGTCAACTGTTTGACACCAAAATCTAACAGGTTCTGAGAAACAAGAAAAACTGTTCAGACCTGATATCCCTTTAAGTTAAAACGTTGGTTCATTGAATAGAAAATGTGAACATCTTGACCTTCTACTGTGGGCCTTGTGGGGAAACTTAACTTCTGTTCACTGGAACATATACTTCAAATAATGAAGACAAGAGTTGTACCCCAACTTATAATGAACATTTACTAAGCATTTTTACTAAGCTCTTTATACATAGAATATCATTTAATCTTCACTGAAGTTCTGTTAAGTATGATGGTTATTATTCAGTTAAGGAAATTTATTATGTTAACAGAATGTTAGTGATATTCTCAGAGTCTCTATGCTGATAAGTGCCACAACTGGATATCCATCCAATACGCCTAGTTCTAAACCATTGCCCTTTCCAATCTAATGAATTTTGTGATCTTTGCACTTTCTAAGTCAGGTGATAAGTCTAAACAAATAAAACCAACCACACTGTGATTGAGTCAATCCCGACTCATAGTGACCCACTTTGGGTTTCTGAGACAGTAAAACTTTATAGAAGTAGATTTCCCAGTCTTCCTCCACAGAGCAGCTGGTGGGTTTGAACTGCCAACCTTCTGATTAGTAGTTAAATGCCTTAGGCACCTTAGGCACTATGCCACCAGAGCTCCAAGGTGAAGAGTATACAAACCTTTACTAAGCACCAATTATTTGCAAGTCCTTTTACAGTCATGGTAACAGGATGAAGAATATATAACACTATCCTGAAGATGTAAACCTAATGATAAAGCTCACTGAGCAAATAATATGTGTCCGGAAAGATAAATAGCACATTCTCTAAATAGTAAAACATGAAAACAAATCTTAATTTGGAGAGAAAGAAGTGTTTATGCAAAATCCTAAAAGATGAGTAGATATCACCAAAGTGAAAATAAGGTAAAAGGATATTTTGGCCAGAGGAAAAGCAAGCTAGAAGGTCATGGAGTGGGTTTATTTGATAAACTGAAAACAGCTCAATATGGCTGAGCAGGGAGAACATGAGGGAGAATGAGGCTCAATGGCCTGGAGGTGTGACAGGAGCCAGAGTTTCTAAGACTTTGCTCATGATGTAGAGATCAGTGGCATGGTCTCCCCATCATTTCTAGATGGAAATGACAACTAAACACATTATAAAAGATCCTCAGAAAGATCCACAGACCTCCCATCTTTGCCTTCGTGCTCCAGAGAAACCCAAGACTCCAAATTCACCCTTTAATACCTGGACCCTCATTCTCATGATGTTTACATAATCCATAAACCTGACTCAATACTACTCTTTCCTCCTCACCTTATTAAAGGAATTTGCTGCTGTCTCATGAATTCTCTTTCTGGCATCAGCAAATTTTCCTATATCCTTATGTTTCCTTTTACCGTCTCCCTGTAAACAAAGCCTGACTAATCATTGATGACAGTGTTTTCCCTACAACCTTACAAATAATGGTGGTTTTTTTGTTTTGTTTTGTTTTGTTTTGTTTTTCATATAATCTTCTGGCCTCTGAGTTTACAGGTGACTTCAGCATCTTCTTTGAACCCCATTGAAATTCCAAATCATTTCTGTTCTGAAATTATTTCAAATCCTTTTAAATTTATGTAACTACCATATACTGTTCTCCTCATGTCTTTATTAGGGTCTTCTACCCACCTGCTGGGAGCTCTGGTAGCATAGTGCCTAAGGCACGTCACTGCTAATCAGAAGGCTGGCGGTTCAAACCCACCAGCCACTCCTCAGAAGGAAGATGGGGCAATCTACTCCGTAGTGATACTGCCTTGGAAACCCAAGGAGGGGTCGCTATGAGTCGGGGCCGACTCAACGGCACATAACAACAACAACAACAACCCACCTGCTGGTCACCCTCCATCACTCACTGATGATTTCAGAGCCAGACTCGCACTCTTTCTCTCCAACCTCTTTCCTCATTGTTATATCCAATTTCAACATTCATGCAGACAATCTACCCAACTTTCCGCCACCCATATTCTGTTACTTCTCATGTAATCCTGTATTTACCTTTGTCATCACCCATAACTGCACCACTTCAGATATCTGCATTTAAAATGTATTACATTTGGACTATCATCTTTTTTTCCATCTTAGATATTTTTTCCTCATGAACACATTTGAAGTCCAATGAATCTTTAATTTTTTGTTTTCATTATGAACAGTTATGTCTGTATTTTATTGCTCATCAATTTAAATTTCATGGTCTATTATTACATT